ACATCATTCAAAAGGTACTTCTGTATTGAGCATAAATTTGAAAAGATATTTAACCTGCGATCATTTTTCGTAAAGTTATGGGGGTTTACAGATTGGCATTTTGGCCAATTTGGGACAAATAACGCGCGATATATTTCGCGCTTTTAACGAGTAAGCGGAGATTTAATCAGTTCTAGAAATCGTTCCAAATTGGTTGAGGTAAGCTTAATTGCCATAATTGATTGTTACTAGTAGCAAAATCTGTTCTTTTGTACTTTATATGGCGTGTGGGGGGATGATTTTTAGAAAAAAAACTTCAAATTTCAGAAGAAAACAAGTTTAATTTTGTTTTTTTTACCTTCAATTTTTTTTGTTAATACTGCTCCATAAACACTAAAAGGCAGTCGGAACATTCATGGCTTCGCCCTGATACGAGCAGTCTTGTTTTATTTAGCTCTGTAACTCAACTTATTAAAATTATGTGCGAAAATTAGCAACTTTATATTCTAACAAAACCGGTTTTTTGACAGCAGCTGCCATTCCACAAATACAATTTTAGGGGGAGGGCGGACGTCCCCCTCAGGGCTTTGACCCCCTGCCGATCCAAAGGGTCCCCCCTTTGATTCTTTCTAAGGATCCATTTTTGGCCGACCGACCGTAAAATTTTTCTGAAGGCGCCTTGGGCGCCAAAATATACTAAGTTTGATGGGGAGCGCGCGCCAAAAAAATGACGTTTGTTGGGCAAAATTTTCCAAAAAGTGCCCAAAAACGGCATATTTGACCTGTTTTTTCAAAAATTTGTCTGCGGCGCAGAAAACTTGGCCACAACAGCGTCTTTTTAGTGCTCAAGGAGAGCTGGCCAACTCAAAATCAATTTGTTCGACATAAAAAAAGGTCGTCAAAATTTTCGAAAATTTTTTGAAAATCCGCCCCCGTCGAGAAAATCCTAGATCCGCCCCTGGTTCAAATAATAACCTTAAAAATAGTTATACAAGAATGTAAGTGTAAAAATATAGAAGTGTAAAATTTTTAAATCTACCTCGTAAATATTCTGTCAAAGAAACTGCAAGACTTCTAATAGCCTTTAAATGATACCACTGAATGATACCACTTTTTTAGGCCTTTAAATGACCTGAAAAAAGGTCGTCAAAGTTTTCGAAAATTTTTTGAAAATCCGCCCCCCGTCGAGAAAATCCTAGAACCGCCCTGCTTTTAAATATGAAGCAATGTGGTCTTCTTTTTCTGATTTAATTCCTGAGCTATGGGCGGCTAGCATTAAGTTAGAAGGATTACTTAGAGGGGAGGTTCACGAAAGCTAAGAGTACTATCTTCTTGCTGGAGTTTTTTTTCATTATAGCGCCGTTGTAGAACCCCCGTCCAATTTCAAGAAAAACTGATTGATCGCGTTCACTAATGTCTGAGCTGTTCTTGTTAAACTATCCACTCGCTTTCTTCGGCCATTGCTTGTTCGGCCATTGCCACTAGCTATATTTGGCCATGGCTTTCAGAAATCTTCTTCTCGCTTTTTTGACCATTTTTGTCCGATGGTTTGAACTAAAATGTGGAGGAGCTTTGTATTCGGATGTGTTTCAGTTTTTTTCGTTTTTTTTTCTTTTTTGTTTTCCGCGAAAAATCAGGTACCAAAAAAAATCATCGACATGATTCCAATTAAAATCATAATAAGGCTTTTGAAAGATTTTTCTCAGTTTCGAGAAAAATTGTTTTGAAACTGTTTGATTTTTGGTCTAATTTCGAGCTAATAAGTTGAGCATGCAGGCTTACAATAGCTTTTTAAGCTTAATTTAAGGCATGAACAATTGGCTTTACTCGAATAAAGTTAGTTTTTGGAGATTTTTGTGTCATTTTGGGAATCAAAACTTCAAAAGTTCAAAAAAATTCTGCAAAAAAATAGAAAAGTTTCTTTGAACTTTGAAAAATTTTTTAAAATTTTTTCTTCAATTATTGCTGAACTGTTTTTTAATTAGCCTATTTAACTATGACCGTAGAATATGCTTAATTTTCATATTTTTGACCAGATCTTTTTATCACAACACACAGAAAACCTACACTAATTTTAAAAAAATATTTTATTTGTTTTCTAAATATAACGTAAAATTTAGAATCAAAAAGAGACAGGGCTAATTTGTTTTGTTTAATGGTTGGTCAATTTCTGGTGATCTTTACTAAATTGTGTACATTTACACGTGCAAAGTTTCACCATTGAAAAACATTGAGTCTTTGCCCAATTTAGTTCTACCCAAGCTAAAAATCGCATTTAGCCCAAAGCATCTGCAACTGATCTGAAGGACAAAAATGAAAAAGCTACACTTTTGATATTTTTTGTTACAGTTTTTTACTTTTCAACTTACAACACTCAATCTGAGCTTCAGGCTAAATTTGCCAGTATTTAAATCCATATTTAAGTTTAAAATTTTTTAAAAAGATTTTTGCCCAAAATACATCTAAGTTTGGGATATAGTAATTGATAGATACTTACCAGAGAAAGTTTCAAGAAAAAAATGCTACACTGCGCAATCATTCATCTGCGGAAAAATTCGTATACCCCTTGATTAAGTACCAAAACAAGAAATTTGATCAAATAAACTTTCAAATAAAAAGATTTAGACTTTTCCGGAAAAAATTGTCAGTGAAAACAAATAGAAGAAATTGAGTTTCAGTGCAATAAACTTTCCACCGTCTTTGTCATCAAAAATGAGCAATTTTTTTTACAGTCTTCGTTGCACAAAAAAGGTTCTCGATAGCTACTTGAAAACTGATACGCCTCAACTACTTTTTCTACGTCGAAATAAGTATCGGTTCTCACAATTGAAGAATCTTTATCACTGTACAAAAAACCAATTTCAGATTTCTTCCATTTTACTGTGATAAAAATCAGGAATAATTTATTTCGCTAATTTCAAAGTCTTTTCACTAAACCCAATGCAATTGATGTATACAAACAAACAAGAAAAATTAGAAGCTCGACTTCTAGTTTAAACAGATCATGAATTTCTATTGAAATTTATAAACTATCGGGGAAATAAAACTAACAAAATCGTTTACTGCTTTTCGACTGTACACTAGCAAAACTAGAGAGTTTACAGCAGAGATGGCTGATATAATGTTTATTATTTTTTAGAAAATTTTTAGAACAAAAATGCTATATTACCATATTCACTCATCCCCGGAAAAACGTGTATACCCTGATTAGGTAAGAACAATTAACTTTGACAGGAAAATCAAATTATAAATAAATTAGGTAGAATTGGATTATTCTGTTAAAAGTTATTTGAGTTGCTTTACACATGCTTACCAGAGCAAAAACGATGCTTTTTTGGTTTCAGTGCATGTAGATCACGAAAAAATGTTCACTGGCTTCGTCGCTGAAAATAGGCACATCTTTTGTTGTTGTCTTTGTTGTATAATAAAGGATATCGATGGTTGTTTGAGTAATAAACTCCTGAACCAAGTTTCTTATGTTTCAATTTTCTTATGAACTTTATCATTTTTCAATAAATCCAAGCTCAAAATGGCTTCCATTTAGCATTACTTAAAATTACAAAACAATTGTCTTGTTGTTCCGACTTTTGATTCGAAAGTAACGGAATATTTGTGCTCGGGGTGGGTTTTTTTTCTTCAGACAAATTTCGACTTTTTAACTAGCCATTTTGAGGGAATTTTTTTATATCATTCGAAAGGTATTGTTGTCTTGAGCTTAAATTTGAAAAGATATTTTACCTGTGATCATTTTTGGTAAAGTTATGGGGGTTTAAAGATTGCCCTTTCGGCCAATTTGGGACAATTAACGCGCGATAATTTCGCGCTATTAACGCGTAAGCGGAGATTTAATCCGTCTTAGAAATTGTTCCAAATTGGTTGGAAGAAGCTTATTTGCCTTAATTGGTTTGTTACAAGGAGCTAAATCTATCTTTTTGTACTTTATATGGCGTGTGGGGGGATGATTTTCATAAAAAACTTTAAATTTTAGAAAAAAAATTTTTCATTTTATTTTACTACATTTTATTTTTATAAGTTATTACTGATCCATAAAGGTTAACAGGCAGTCGGAACATTCAGGGCTTCGCCCTGATACGAGCAGTCTTGTTATATTCGGAACTTTTTCGCTTTTTCGCTTAACCATCAAAGATTAAAATTATTCACAAGCAAACTGGATTTTTCAGAAGCAATCTTCTAATTTTATCAGATCATATAGCTCTTGAGTTGTGTTTTAAGAAAAACACCGAATAGATAAAACATACAATATAAGATTGACTAGATTGCTATATTATTTATAAGCTTTTGAGTTTACAGTAGCTTTAAAACACGAAAACTGATATGCTTATGTGATATATATGTTTTTTTTAAATCATGCCTCCCAGCAGTTAAAGAGAAAAAGTTGAATGGGGGATAGCAGGGGCGGATTTAGGGTTTTCTCGAGGGGGCGGGCGGATTTTCAAAAAATTTGCTAGGTCGACCAAATCGTTTTTGGACACTTTTTGGAAAATTTTCTCAGCCATCCTAATTAGAAAATACCGAGCAAATCAAATTTTGACCGAGCGCGTGAAAAGCAATAAAAACAGAAAAGATGTCCTGGTTCCAAATTTTAAATCCTTCACGAAAAATCTATTCACCTAAACGAGGAACAAACAAAACGGAATTTTGAAAGCCATTAAAGATGAAGATGACATAAAAAGCAATACAAATATAAAGTCTTTGATTTGATCGTAGAAAGCGAACAGTTAGTACTTAAAAGCGTTCGCACCAAAAATTGGTAAGTTGAGACGACTGAGACTACTGAAACGCGGCCGAGATTTGCAATTTATGTTTTGACGACTCGACAAAAGTTGGTATGTTTCGATCACGGCCCAGGATCGAATTGTTTCGACCATCTCAACCCAAGCTGTCTTTGCTTCGACTGAGTTTGGCCGAAAGAATTGATTTCTTTGTTACTCAGTGACAAAGTCTTCAAACTACTTTTTAATCGCTTTTTCCTAATTTTTGGCTTGGTTTTTTCCCAAAATTTTAAACATGTGAATTACCTCAATAAGATATTCCTCCAGCATAACATTAATTAACAGAATAAAAGGTTGGATATCTAACTATCTCTCTTGATCCAATTTATTTCATAAGGCCATTCGGAATAATGTTTACTTTCCAGACTGTTCTCAAGAGTTCCACCCAGAGTTACAGGTACGAATTTCAAATCTGACATCACTTGAAGGGCCAAGTTGACCATGTGTTTGTAATTTGCGTCCTTCTTTTTCAAATCTTGTTTCACTATGTTCCATTCCATCTGAATGAATGGCACTGATATCTCTCTGAGGAAATTCTGGCCCCCTAAAACCACCCCTGGTTCGGACCCCTCGCAGTCCGCTTTAATGATCGCTTTTTCTATTCCCATCTTGTGAAAAATAGGAAGCAAGTCATCCAGCGTCGCCACAGGTGATGCCTGAACATTGAATTAGATCACACATTTTGGGAAAAAAATAACAGAGAACTCCATATATAACTAAACACGGATGAACTAAATGAGCCAATAAAAAAGCTGTTTCAGCAACTTTGGAAAAATTTTTTGTTGGCTCATTTTGTTCTTGGATTCAGATTTCCTCTGTTGTTTGCGAGGATGTTTCCACGTCAAGAAGACCTATGAAACTATTAAGGATGTAGTGACTTTTCTACGCCTTCAAAGTTAGATTTCTAGAATTTCGACATGGCTTAGTCTTTCTAAACAAATTCATCTAGCTTGCGTTAAAAAATTTAGCCCTCTGTCCTAATTAGTTGCAGCAAAAACGTGAAGAAAAAATGCAATAATTATTTTTTATAGAGATGGTTTTTCCGTACTTCTTCATCGCAGTTTTCAATGAATTTGACGCTGTTGCCGCCCGGGTTCAGCGTACTGTTGGGGTTTGACTGACGACCAATGCACTGGAATCTCTTCTCCATCACAGCTGTCGGGTACACGTGCAGAAGCCCCTCTAAGTTGTTCACATGCACTGATTGTGACAGGTACCTCAAAGTGTCCATGGTCAGATCAAAAGCAAAGGTCTGTCGACCTAATTTTGCCGCAACTATGCTGCAAAACCATAACAGATTATTATCGCATGTGGGAAAAAAGCCTCTTCATCAATCACTCGTTAAAAAAATTGAAAAGAGAAGAGATTATTGAAGTACGTTTTGAACGGTTTGAGCGGTTTTTTTATGCAGAATGCGCTCGAATTTTTAGTTCAAAATGAAAAGTTGTCGAATATTTTTTTCTTGGAGATAGAGTCGCCACTCTGACTGTTAAGGTGTATTGGCTAACAGATTTAATCGAATAAAAACTGACAGTTTGATTTTATTTAAATTAACGGCAGTTTTCATTCTAGTGCAAAAATTTTTGGCTCATGTGAACCATATCCGCCATAAATGGACCCAGTGAACAATCTACCTCTAAAATTACATGAAAAGTTTAGGCCGTACGGCCTGCATGCTCTATGCTCATATCTGATGGGCTAAAAAAACCTCCTCCCTAATTGTAATTAGTAGGACGATAGGTCATGTGCTCCAAATTTTTTCGCACTGGTCTGGATGTTGATTGATCAAATTTTGACTTGCATAAACTTGCAGGTTTAGTTTGTAGTTTTTAAAAATCGGTAAAATTTGAGTACTTTAGAGCATTTTGTGAAAAGATTTGAAAGGTTGAGTGACTTTGCGAGCAATTCTTAGCAAGATTGGGCAGTTAAACGATCATAGCAATTTTTCTTTTCAAAAGCAAACATGCTCAACCGCTCAAAAATGCCCAAATTTTGAGCGGTTTGAGCGCAATTTTCAAAATCGAGAGTTAAGCATTTTTTTGAACGTTGATTTTGTAAAAATAATTTGGGGTGGAAAGAAAAACAAAATAACGTAAGAATGATTTTTTTTTCAAAAATATCGAAAGCAATTTTTAGTATCCTACAATTTCGATAGCAGTTTCAAGTAATAGTTTTGAAACTAATGGACTGTTTACAGAAATGCATGAATAACCACGGGTCCATAATTTCTTCTAGGCTAGTGCGAAGTTCCCGGGTGTAAGTGAGATGCTTAGAACGACCCTAATTTGTCAATTGCAGAACGCAGAAACCAAATATTGGAAATTTCAGTCGGATTTGACAGAATCTTGGCATTTTCAAATTCGCATCAACCGTTGTAACTAAGGTAAATAGCACAAAAGGCTCGACTTGAGTTTTTTGTTTAACTGGCTGAATTTAAGTTTTTATAAGCGAAACGCAAAAAAAAAGTGTCTCATGCGAACAATCAAAACAATCGCTTTCAAAATATAAAACTTTTTCAAATTAAGTCTTTTAAACAATCTTTGTACCTTTTAGTCGATTTGATAATTTTTGCAACATCATATGCTATTTTTTGTCAATTCGTGTCCAGACTTTGGGGCCATTTAAAACTTTTTTGATTAAGCAACTAATTCTTTGGAAGATAGGAAGTTTTGCAAAAGTTAAGAGTCAATGCAGTTTATTGGTGCAATTTGAATCTTGATGATATCCGTTTCTTTTGCAAAGTGATAATTTGTAAACAAACTTGGAAACTTTTTTCAACGAACCTAAAAGAGCCTAAGTTCGCTCCGATGTCTACGATTGCCGCATCAGTGTGTTTGGTAATGACTTGGTTGAAGATCACTTGTTGAACAGGCTCCTCCCATATTGCACCAGACTTGATTATCTTGCTCACATGCTAAAAAATCTAAAGCGATTTGTCATCTTGATAAAATTTGTCTAAACCTGCAGTTTAACTTTTTTATGTTTTTAGCCAATACACAGACAAGTTATCTTCAGGTTTCAGGTTTTAAAACTTTACAATAAAGTGAGGTAACTATTAAAAAAAGTTGCATTTGTTACGTGACTGTTATGATCTTTTTTTTAAGATGTAAAAAGAATCCTGTAATTTTTTTTACTTTAGCTTTATTTCAGAAAACTAAACAAAACCCATTTTTACTATCAAAAGTTGTTGTTTTTAGCCTTTGTTCAGAAATATATTGCAAAAGAAGATAGCTGAGACGCTAGCAATTCTCACCAAACGAGTTATGACGGAACCATGTGCAGTTTGTGTGGTAAAAAATAATATTTGCAATTTTTCAACTGAACCACATGCAAAAACATCCCGAAACTTTATTGGAAATTTTTTAAACTAGTATTTTTTTTGTGATACTACACAATTCATGATCAGCCTAAGATATTGCGATTTAGTGTAAATAATCAACAACCTGTCAAATCTCTTGGTGCTAAAACTAATGTTACGTGCGCTCTCTTATAGCAAAAAGCTTTGTCTACAGTTGAAAGATTACAGTTGATTTAATTCGTATGTGTCCGTATTCATAGGCATCTAAGTGATATAACATCATGTAATTAAGCTTCTTGTTGGTTTACTTTACATTGTTTTTGTTTGAGTTCAGCTAGCAGAGTTTAGATATCTGATACCTCATGACTGATAACTGATATCTCATGAGGACTGTTATCTCATGACGCAGCTAGCCGTCCAATATTTGGACGAACGAACATATGTACATGGGGTACAACCATTTTGGGCAAAACCATCGTCGGAAACGATTCACTTGTTGAAGATCACTTGTTGTCTGTTGAAGATCACTCAGAACAACCGGGTCAACACTCAGTGCCATCGTGGACACAGGAAGCACGGCATCATTGAATAACAAAAGAACAGCAGATTTATTATTGAAGAGACAAAGATGCGAGAGCATTATTATTAGACGAGTGTCCAACCAAGGCTAAGTACGTTGACAACAATCACTATTCAATCAATTTATTCAGCTTACTACGGATTGATTTACATTTGAACGGCTGGCCAGCTAAATATCTACATTTCCTAATTTCCGAAAACCGAACAAGATGATTAGTAGGATTAGACATACATCCAAAGTTTGGCTTGATAACTACGCAAGTAAAACAACAGACTCTCAAGTACTCAACTAACGCCGCCGAAAGCTCTGAAACAACCCAGATCATCGATGAAGATTTTAAATTACTTACCAAGACTCACTACTCAACAGAAGCAGAATCTATCATCTAGCACCTCTGAAAATCCATTTAGGATTGAACAGGAGCACACTTTATCTATTCAATGACAGAAAATGGCGAAATAGGACCAATAGAGCACTAAAAGTTAACAAGACAAAATGATATTAAGGCTCCAAATTAACCAAAAAAATCGACAAATACAGTCTAACCTTCTCAAATCTTCAAAAATAAAATCATGCCAGAGCATAGGAAAGATGTGCAGCAATGGGGCAGTTTATAACAGCTGTCGAAAAAAGGCCACTTTACGAAGTGCTATACTTCCTCAAAACTTAAGGTCGGAAATCGGATTGAAGAATCGGACGAAGAAAAAGACTGCAATTTCATAGACTCCAAATATTCACTTTTAGAAAAAGGGAAGAAAATCGAGAAGTAGAGTCTTTCAAATTTCTAGAAGTGATAAATGCAACGACAGGCCAAATAAAGTGTTTAAGGGTAACTCTCAGAACGACCGGGTCAAAACTCAGTGCCACCGTGGACAAGAAAGGACGACATCATTGAATAACAAAAGAACAGCAGATTTATTATTGAAAAAGACAAAGAAGCGAAAGCATGAGCATTAGACGAATGTCCAATCAATACAAAGTACGTTGAAAACAATCACTATTCAATCAAATTATTCGGCTTACTACGGATTGTTCTACATTCGAACGGCTGGTTCGCTAAAGATGAGAACAGCAGGCTTTTTATTGAAAAAAGACAAAGACGCGAAATTATTATCATTAGAAGAGATTCCGAACAAGACAAAGTACGTTGACTACAATCACTATTCAATTAGGATATTCGGCACACTACGGATTAATATTCATTCGAACGGCTGTGTAGCTAGAGATAAACAATTAATAATTTCAGAAAATTGAAAAAGAGGCGTACTAGGATTAGACATAGAACCTAAGATTGGCATAACAACAACGCAAAAAAAAACCGGCAGATTCTCAAGTCGGAGAAATTGAATTCGCTGAAAATGATGAATCCAAAGTATCGATATTTTGGAAGAAATAAATCATGGAAAAATACAACAACGTGTTCAATCAACACTGAGAACCACAAAGTCTTCAAACTTTTTAAATCGTCGTATCTATTCAAAACAAGGGTCGGATCAGAAATACAGATGTTGTAAGTAGAAGGGCGCATAATAATCTGGACAAGTGCGCATCAAATCATATTGTAGCTCCAGCAATAGTTACGACGAAAAAAAGACGGAACAGTCAAGCTAGCGATGGTCGCTAAACCTATCAGCTCAAAGATTTTCAAAAATAAGTTCCAAATGCCGAATCTGTTGGATTGACTAAACCCAGCCGCCCAAGTCATTACATCGAAAGATCCAGGTGAAGTCTAGTTCACGTCATCACATCTGAAGAATTCAGCCAATTAGCTTTGGATGAGTGGGTTACTAAGTATTGTAACTTGATTATCGTCTGCGGTGAGTTTACTGGTATAATTAGATGTGAAACGGGTTTTTACGGACTCACAGACAAGCCAAATATTTTGAGAAGGCAATGGCCAACACCAGAAATGTTCTGCTTTTTGAGTAACACTTATTTTTCTTAAAATTCCAATTTAGATCACAATAGAAAAGTACAAAACGTACTTGAAAGACTAACTGACGAATTGTTTGCGCTAAAAGGAAACAGAAGGCGCTCGTCCAAAACATTCAAAAATCGAGTTAGTCTTAAACCTAACGCCGCCAAAAACTCATAAACAATTCAGATCATTCATGGTTATTTTAAAATACTTATCAAGATTTATCCCGAAAACAAAATCAAAAACATAACCACTAAGATCTTCACTAAAAGCTAGTAGTAGTAAATCATACCGACCAATACTCTACAAAAGTAGAATCGATCATCTAACACCTCTGGCAATCCATTTAGGATTGAGCAAGAGCCCACTTTATCTATTCAATAACGGAAAATGGCAAAATGTGACCAAAAATATAACAAGAAAAATCAAATTTCAGGCTCCATGTTAGGCAAAAAATTGTCAAATACAGTTTAACCTTCCTAATTCTTCAAAAACCAAATTACGCCAGAGCATAGGAAAAAGGTGCAGCATTGGAACAAGTTGTAACAGCTGTAAAAAAAGCTATACTTCCACAAAATCTGAGGTCGGAAATTGAAATGAAAAATCGAACGAAGAAAAGAACTGCAACTTCAAAGACTCGGACAGCGAATCCGGATATTCAGTTTTTAGAATAAAGGAAAAATTGAGAAGTAGAGTCAGTCAAAATTCTAGAGGTCCTAAATGCAACCACAGGCCAAATATAATGTTTAAGGGTAACTCTCAGAACAACCGGGTCAAAACTCAGTGCCACCTTGGACACCGGATGCACGGCATCAATGAATAACAAAAAACAGCAGATTTATTATTGAAAAAGACAAAGATGCGAAAGCATAATCAAAATACGAGTAATCGAAAGCATAATCAAAATACAGGAAACGAAGCAAGCCTCTGTAACACACTTGAACAAGATTTATGCTACAACGACTGTCAAACTCAGACTAAAAAAGTCAACGAAGTCCTCAGGAGCAAAAATTATGGTGAACCAAGTGAATAGTGTGGCCACAAAGAAAACACCTATTGTGTCAGACGACAAAACGTCCTTCACAACATGACTTTCAAATCTGCTAGACTCGGATTTGCTGGCCGAGTTAACGACGGAGGATTCTCAAGTGGGACCGTTGAGGGAAAAAATTTTGACCAGAGACAGAGAGCGATTCATACGGATGTGAAACTACGTCGCCAGTTTCTGGGAGGATTCCGCAGTCGTCAGTGACTGTGTTAATTTAGACAACCGACTGGCATTCTCGCTTTGTCTAGGAACGCCAGTGCTCAATCGGTTACATAGAACACATCCAGGCCAAGAAGGGATAAGAGACGACGCATTCAATATTTTATGGCCACGGATGCACCGCCAAATTATTGAACTCTGTAATAATTCTACACATCGCTCGAAAAATGGTAAGAATATCAAAACGTCAAGACCATTTAATTCATCTAGTCTATTACCAGACTTGACTGTAACGAAAGAGTAATTACAATCAGATTTCGCCGGTCCATTATTAGACAATAAGGGGAAAACATTACACTTTCTAGTGACAATACAACGTTATTCCAAATAACATGTTTTAATCACCAAAACAATGGGTGGAAAAAAATATTATTTTTTGAAAAGCTATATTCAACAATATAATGTACCGACCAATATTCGAGTTTCAATATGCATATAATATTTTTTCCTTTTGGGAGGAATGTGATACGGCATTATTCAAGGTCAGCTTAAGATAAAGTGACCTATTCTATTTTTACAACAACCTGTCAAATCTATTGGTGCTAAGGCTAAAGTTCCGTTGCGTGCGCTCTCTTAGAGCTTTATCTACAGTTGAAAGATTATAATTGATTCAGTTCGTGTTTATACGTATTTATATCTGACTAAGTGATATACCATCATGTAACTCAGCTTCTTATTACTTTGTTTTATTTTGGGTTTATTTGTGTTTTGCTAGCAGAAGTTACGGATATCTGAGTAATATAATTTATCATCAGGTTTTAAAAAAAGGTCCTTGAAACTATTTTGGATTATAGTTTCAGGAGATATAAATAAGTCTGAATGCAGCGACATTCACAAATAATTCCACTCAA